TAGGTGCACGAATCAAGAAGGCTAGGGCTGCCTTTGCGAGTTTACGAAACGTATGGAGACCCAACCAGATAAGTCAACGCACCAAAATCCGAATTTTCAACTCGAACGTGAAATCTGTGTTGTTATACGCCAGCGAGACGTGGTGTGTATCAGCGGAGAACACTCAAAAGCTGCAGGTCTTCATCAACCGATGCCTGCGGTATATAATTCGTGCCTGGTGGCATCACAACTAGATCTCGAATGCCGAGCTCCATCGCCGATGTCATCAGAAGCCGATAGCAACAGAAATTCCAGAGCGAGGTGGGTCGGCCACACACTTCGACGGGGCGGAAACGAAATCTGCAAGCAAGCGCTGGATTGGAATCCGGTAGGACATCGCAGCAGCGGCAGACCCAGGGGCTCATGGCGGCGGAGCCTCAATAAGGAAATTAAGCAAGTCGATAGGAATCTGACCTGGGCCCAGGTCAAGGCAAAAGCGAGTAGCCGCCCAGTTTGGAAGTACGTTGGCCCTTTGCACGGCTGGTGGTGCACAGGACCCTTAAAGGAAAAATCTAATTTTTTGAAAACTACATGAAATAATTTGCAAGAAGGTGAATTTTTAGTTACTTGCGGTTTTTCCGAAAACTACAGCTTTGTGTTACAGGATGAAGTTCAGTCTCATCACTGGAATGTCCAACAAGCTACCATTCATCCATTTGTTATATATTTTACAGAAAATATGCAAGTTAAACATTTATGTTTTAATATAATTTCTGAAGAGTTAAGGCATGACTCAGTGGCTGTTAACTTATTTATTTCTAAAATGATAAGTTTTTTACGCATTAACCAAAGTAAAAATATCAACAAGATTTATTTTATGTCCGATGGAGTCGCCTCACAGTACAAGAACCGGAACAATTTTGCTAGCCTTTGTAAATTTAAATCGAAGTATGGAATTGAGGCCGAATGGCATTTCTTTTCAACATCACATGGGAAAGGTCTTTGTGACGCTATTGGAGGTACAATAAAACGCATGGCTACTAGAGCAAGCTTGGCCAAAGAACGTGAACATCCAATAAAAAAATGCAAGAGAGCTTTATAATTGGGCAAATAATCGAAAAGAAGAAGAATTAACAAAATTATCATTTAGTTTTGCCACAACAGATGAATATGAAGGTATGGCTTCACACGTCAACGAGCAATATAATAATGCAAAAATAATTCAAGGAACTCAAAAGTATCATTCTTTCATTCCTGTTTCAGAAAATAAAATTAAAGCCAAACGTTACTCAAACTGTAATGATAATCATGCCGAAACATTCGATGTATTTAGGAAGTGATGTAAATAAAAATAGAAAGTAAGTGTATTCCAATGAAAATAAATTATGTATCATCTGTCCATAAGGTTTCCGAATAAAAAAAAGTAAAAAAGAGCAGAACAATGTATTTTGTGGATTTAAGTTGAAATTTGAAAATAAAAAAGTAGTCAAGATTCGCTATAACAAATTGTAATAGCGAACCACGACTACTTTTCCAATAGGGCCTGTGTAGAGAAGCGCTTATTAAATAAACATTTTTTACATTGCAAAAACGGCTTGCTTGATTGCTATGGTGTCTTCGGGAAGGTTGTGCACACGGTTAAAAACATGTGTTTTTAATGAAAATGTAAAAATCGTGATATTTTCAAAAACCATAACTTTTTTGAGTTTACCATCACCAAACTTTGCCAGTTAGTAAGTAGCATACATTATGAGCTTCAATGAGGTTGAAAACAAAAATGTTCAAAAATGCTTTTTTGAGAAATTATCTTTTTTAATAACAAATATAATTTTTTTCATTGAAACAAACGAAATTTGTTACAGTGTATATTTTTAACATTATTGCCAAAATAATATCTACAACTTTACTCGAGACACCAAATCAATCCAACAAACCGCTTCAGCAATATATATTTTTAAACTCATTAGTACTATTTTTACACAGGCCCTGTTAGAAAAGTAGTCGTGATTCAATTTGAAGAACTGATAACACAAATTGGCATCTTTACTAAAAAAGAACAACTGAGCAAATTTTCATCAAAATCGGAGCCGACAAATTAAAAAAAATTAAAAAAATCGTCAATCTGTAGAGAATTGCTCCAATACAAGAAAGACTTCAAGATCCTTAGTACGACAAAATCTCTACTTGTATCTTCAATCTCATGGATTCTGCAATGTCCTCACTATCTCATACAGATTCAAGCAATTTGATAGCAATACTATGCCAGAGAAACAAACTGATGTACAAATCTAGATGTGAAGTAAAGAGCAAAAAAAGGTAAACAACGATGAAACGTGCCGGCATCCACGTCTACAAGATCCGGAAGGCACCGAACCGGAACGATGAACAAAATTCGGTGGCCAAAACCCGTGACAGGAAGCTGTACTGGGAGTGGCTGATGAAACCAAGGTGCGTCCGACGAGACTTACATCAAGACGGACACAAAGCAGTTGCCAGGGCAGGATTTTACGTTGCCACATTACGGTTGGCAGTTTCTGAGAAGGTAAGGAAGAAGAAGGTGGACAAATTCACAAAAAAAGTTCTTGGTTTGGTAGGCCATCTATGGGTGCGGCAAGATGAGCTAGCCAGTATATCACGACTGGTACCAGCAACGGGCAAATCTACCGGGACGAGTGCCTTCAGAAGCGCCTCCTACCCTTCCTGCGGTCTCACAAAGGCGAGAAGCTGTTTTGGCCGGATTTGGCATCCTGCCGCTACGCTGTTGTTTTTGTACCAAAAGACGTTAACCCTCCAAATTCGCCGGAACTTTACCCGACTGAGAAGTTTTGGGCCATCATGAAGGCCAGACTTTGTAAAACACCTAAGGTGTTGGAGAACGAGCTGGCTTTGAAGAAACAGTGGGTACAAATATCAAAATAAGTCTCGGCCCCACCATTGCCCAAAACCTTATGAGTGATGTCAAGAGCAAGGTGCAAGCATTAGGTTATGGAGCGGAAATCAAATAAAGCATTGAAGTAGAAACCCAACCGTAATGTTATAGTTTTTGGGGTTTCAATGCCAATGTGTTAGGCCGAGTTTAGAATCCATAGGCCGAGTTTGGCATCAAGAAGCAGTGTTAGACTTTTGACAATATCTCAACGATTGGTTTCTCTTTATCACATCTTACCATACGTACAGAAAGGTAAATAAATTTGGAAGCCATCAGTAATAATAACTTTCCGTTTGGTGCTAAACTGCGCTAGATTAAGAAAGACTAAGTGCGGGTTGTGCTTAATTCCGGCCTATTGGGGTAGTTAACCCTAGGCCTCTTTGATGCCCAGTTTAGAAACCTTAACTGCACCTCCAAGGCTTCCCAAAAGCTCTTCAATAAGCGGTAGTTGATGAATTGGTTGACTCGTCTCATCATCAGACCATTTCAAAATATGCATCATTGGATAAACCCACCCAAAAGGGCCGTATACCTTCTCAATGATAGTCCACGATGAAATTTCCACACTATGAAATTGCTCTAACTTTTTAACCGTTGGGTAGAATTTAATGAAAATTTGGGTGGATTTAGTTCATAGTGCATTATTTACATCCTGCAAGTTTTAAAGTCCTGTGATCAAAACTCGCGGAAATGGAGTCGAAAGAACAGCTCGTGCGTGATAAAATCTTGCGCATTCATCACGAGAACAAGGATCTCTCGCATCGTTCCATCGCTAAAACGTTGGGAATCGCGAATTCCACGGTGTCGCGAGTGATTAAGCGGTTCGAGGAACGGTTGACCACCGATCGGAAGCCCAGAAGTGAAGGAAAAAGTATTCCGTACAACACCAAAAATCACAACCGCGTAGTTGGGGCCTTCAACCGAAATCCGAACGCCTCCGTTAGGGATGTGGCTAAGAAGCTGCACCTAAGCCGAAGTTTTGTCCAGAAGGCCAAAACTAAGGCTGGGCTTCGAACGTTCAAGGTACAAAAGGCCCCTAATCGCGACGAGAAGCAGAACAAGTCCGCCAAAACCCGTGCCAGGAAGTTGTACCTCAACATGCTGACGAAAGTTGAATGCTGCATCATGGACGACGAAACATATGTGAAGGCCGACTTCAAACAGATCCCCGGCAACCTGTTTTTCACGGCCAAGGATAAGTTCAGCGTTCCGGAGCATGTCCGCACTCAGAAGATGTCCAAATTTGCGAAGAAATTCCTGGTTTGGCAAGCCATCTGCACGTGCGGGAAGCGGAGTGCACCTTTCGTGACCCAGGACACGATGAACGGACAGGTGTACATAAAAGAGTGCCTCCAGAAGCGGCTGCTTCCTCTCCTGAAGGCCCACAACGTCCCAACAATCTTCTGGCCGGATTTGGCCTCATGCCACTACTCCAAGGACGTGCTGAAGTGGTATGCGGACAATAAGGTCAATTTCGTGCCGAAAATGTTCAACCCTCCCAACACTCCGGTGCTCCACCCCATCGAGAAGTACTGGGCGATTATGAAGCAGCACCTTCTTAAACGACCTAAGGTAGTGAAGACAGTCGAGGAACTGAAGAAAGTATGGGTTTACATGCAAAAAACGGTTGATTCACAGGTTGTGCAGAATCTTATGGCCGAGGTTAAGGCCACGGTGCGGGCATTTGCGTGTGGACTGTAAATAAAATACGAGTAAAATGGTAAAATGAAGTTTAATAGTTATTTCTCAATCCCTGAAAATTTGATGGCAATCGGATGAAAACTCGAATTTTGCGAATCAATTTTGTGTGTGGCAATTTCATCGTGGACACCCTTTATCTTTTTCCAGAGGAAATTGTAGTTTGTCATGGATTGTATTTTCCAACGCAATAGGTGCTCATCTGTTTCTCTGCTGTGCGAGTTTAATGCGGGTTCATCGTTGGAATATTGAAAATAATTCCGATTAAAAAACTAAATGAATGAAACTGGCAGCGCTGAGATTCATTCCAACAACAACATCCATTCTGACATCTTGAGAAGCATCATGAATTTCTCTATGCCATCGCTCCGATCCGTTCATTCATTCAGTTTCAGTCAGTCGTCCGCGAGTTGTCTTCCATACCGGTCCGTTGTAGGTGCACGTATACCGACATAGCACTTTTTGTCAACGATTTTCATTCATAAAACTCATCCATTTCGAGGGGAGACGTGCGCTATCGATTTTTGTCGGCATCTCGCTCACGCCAGTGCTGAGTGTAGTAGGAGGGTGTGAGAACGATAGCCAACAAGTTTGAAGACATCTTTTGGATTTGGAAGATAAATAATCACAACAAACGTGGATCGATGCAGAGGACAGAATTTCATTATAGTATTTAATATAAAAGTACACTACATGCTCAGTTTACCAATTTGCATGGTGTTACAGTAATACATTATGGAGGTTAACAGCCAAAAGAAATAAGATTAAGTGGTGTTCGTGTTCCAGAAGAATCAGTAAGTGAGAGTAAGAATCTGAATAAAGTGCTTGTGCAAAATAGGTGCAATTCTATGTCGTGTTCCTAATCCCTAATTCTCGTAAGTATAAGCTTATTCAAATAGAATTTCATTATTTGTTTGTATTTAGCAAAACAATGCAATGAAGATGATATCGATTGCATTGATAAAGTCATTTGAGTAGCAGCAATTATTAAAATTGTCTTCAAAGAGGAACTGAAATAACTGTCCAATCTGCAACTATCGGTGCAAATTGAAGTAATTACACACATTTGTTTGTGGTGGAGATTTGCTTTCCGGGTGTGTGAACTGATGCTGTAATAACGGATAGCCAGTGGACGATGTCCGGAAAGAGGAATATATGTTTCATACGCAGAATGGACAGAATTAAGAATTAGGACAGGAAAATTTCCATTTTTGAAAGACTCATGTATCATTTTCATTTGTCTAGGAATCAAAGCTACTCTAAAGCTTGTATTTTTGTATTTTTTATTCGTATTTTGAAAATCGCTTATTAAAATTTTGAAAACCTTTAATTAATTTTTAAAACCTCAACAAACCTTAATACATAATTATGAGTCAACTGTAAAGTCCAAAATAGATACCCTCTATTCCAAATAGCGTGAACATTTCGGTTTGTCTGCCCTAAACCTCTATGGTACCAGATGTGCTTTATCTGAAATGTGGAATCAATTCCATCTCGTGCGGATCGTACTCTCACTTTCAGTTGTTCCATACCGAAAACACACTGAATTATTCCATTCTAAGCTGAAAGGAAGATGAAGAAGAGCAAAAATCCCCTCTTTGGTTATCGCATTCTTCTAAAACAGAGTTATGAAAAACCATAGTTGCCAAGAAGTAAGCGAACAAATGTGGCAAAGTCATTACCCTTGTTAGATTTGTTTGGAGAGAGGAAATTGACTTAGGAGGAAAAGCAGATGATCGAGCGAACTACTGCGCTCTTTGTTAGTGTGTAGGCGGCGAATCTATTCGTCACGTACACCAATTTTCTTCAGTTGGATGTAATCAATGATGCGATCTTGCATCGACTTGTGGGTCTCACAGAGTACACCAATTGAATTGCCATACGACAACTGGAGCCCGCTCGCAGCCTTCGTCTTTGACTAGCGAAAGGAAATAAATTACATCAGCAGATCGTTAGGGTGATATTCAATCTATGATCATCAGTACAGTGTGAATTGTCGCTGAGATAGAAGTAACGCGTTCATTTGTGCCGTTTTTTTTATTCATTCGCATGGGTACCGGTAAGTTGTTGAATGCAAAAAGAAGATCATATATAATGAGGTGCTAGAACCATGGGCCAGTTCATGGTCAGCTCATGCATCGGGTTTCAACTTTTGTTTCATGAATTTGATTGAAAACATTGTTTGTGGTGTCGCTATGACCAGAAAAGTGAATAGGTACATGGAAATTGGCGTATAACAATGAGTGAAAATGGGATAATTGCTGGTGCTGCTGCGATCGTGCAGATTTCTTATCGTGTTGATGAATGTGACATTTGAATGGTAATATTTGTAGACCATGAAATCAACTAAATACAGTTAGCGACGCCGGTGGTGTAGTGGTAAGCGTGATTACCTCTCACCCAGCAGACCTGGGTTCAATCCTCGTCGGCGCCACCGGGATGGGATGGTCTGAGGCATAACATCTCTGATCACGCCTTCCTTCGAAAGGGAAGTAAAAACGTTGGTCCCCCAGTTCATGAGTTGATGGGTCGATAGGTAGGGTCCAGGTGTGGGAGTTGCCTCCTTGGCGTTGGTAGCATTGGAGCTCAGCACGGAAAACAAGATCGACGGAAAACAAAATCATGGAAAAAAAAACTAAATACAGTTCATTTTTATTATTATTAATACTACAATCCAGATTAATTCACAAAATATAATCGAGACTTAACACCTTCAGTCATTATATGATACCCGATATTCTCTTGATCACTGTATCTCCCTGTCACCCTCCCGAACTCAAGTTTCCCTTCGATACAGACCCCCAAAAATTTCTCTTCCGACGGAAGACGTGACCAAAGATTATTCACCTCTGAAAATCCCAAACGGTTCGCTCGCAACTGTCGTTGAAACCCGTTGTACCTCTCAGCGTTTATCTCCTGTCCGTTCGTACAGTCGACAGCAGTTATTGTTTCGGTGTGCTGTGTTCATTGTCTTCAGCTCGATCAGTGTCATTTGATGGCGTCATTGGAAGCAATCATTTCAAGGTGTTGTAATTGAAAAACAACGCGAAGCAGGGACGAAAATTCCAGTTTTGTGAAGGTTCTGAACCGAATTGCGGTAAATGTTTTTAGCAACTTCAATTCGGAAAAATAAATTCATTATACAGGGCTGCACAATTGTGAGAAATTGTCGTTATGCTGATGGAAAGACAGCGCATCAGTGGAAGTACACATGTCGCCTTTGGGAGACAATGTTCAATATGTTCGAGTGCACGATCACCAGAGGTCTCGGATCACGATCTAGCGTTGGTGCTAGAGCGGTACGGAAAGGTTAAGCGTGTCTTCCGGGAGAAGTATCCTGCCGAGCACACAGCTAATATGGACGTAGATAAGGAAATTCCGGCCACACATCATATCCCAAGTATCAATTTTGGTTTTATTAGGGTTCTGTAGACCAGGATTTAGGCTTGTAGAATACTTTAAAACCTATATTAAACTCGCAATGTTACAATGCTACCGGACGCAGCCGGAGAAGCCATTGTAACGCTGTGCTGTTTTCTTCTTTTTTTCCTGTAAATATTTTATCGATTAAGTTCAACTAAATTTAAAATAAAATTCATTTAATTATTTAAATTTTCATTTAGATTTCATTCAGTAGTGAAATATTTCGTGCGTTTCATATCGAAGTTACGCGTTATTTATGGTTAGGTGTCCTGGATAAACCTTTTGCTATAAAAAGCTCATCTTTATAGATAGTAGCTTTTATTGCACATGCTTTCGGAAGGCGCCATGAAATACTTCGCCATTTGATTAGTTTGGCGCAATCGTTTTTTAAAAGACGACCTTAATTTCTAAAGAAGAATGTCGTTAGGAACTTTCTTCCCCGCGAAAGGTACTCTGACTCGTCGATTTCGCTTTTGAATCGGCTGGTGAACAGAAGTGCGCGAATTAAGTTCTCGTTAAAAGTGCATTAAGAATTGCCTTAAAAGTGTAGCTAAGGTAGTTTTAAATTCCGCGTAGTCTGTTCGTTTTGTTTCAGTGAATTTTGTACAAAAAAGCGCTTTGCGCTTTTTGTACGGGCTGGATTTTTATCTTCAGTTCGGCTATCGCAAGGCGGACAAGGGGTTCTGTTAAGTGGCATCTATTCCGTCGTCCGTGTGAAACGGACCATCAGACTCGTGCGCCAAGCGAAGGCCCGCCTGTTCAAAGGTAGCCAAACGGAGAAGAGTGAAGTTCGCTATTCCACGCAGCGAAACTTTTCCGACGGTCGCAAATCAACCGTCGACGAGGTCCTTTTTCCACTACAACCCCTTGTGGACCATTCTTTCCGAGAGCGCGGACCGTTTGAGTGCGTAGCCAAGAGCGTACTACGGTCCGGATTCAATCCAAGGAGAAGGGTGGGTTTCATTCCATCCCGGGCGGTCATAGCGGAAGCTTAGTACGCGAAGCCGTGCGGCGGTAAGTTGGCCCTCTTTTCTCTGAGGGGCGAATCTCCCGGGAAAGCACGACTACGGTCGATGCGCCACTCTCTTCGCAACTCTAGTTCGGCCATACTGCGCACGGGTCACCTTCATCGCTGCTCGCCATACTGCAGCTCATGTGCGGCGCCATCACGCCTCGCCGCCATCGCCACGCTAACTGGAAGGTCGCCTTCCGTCGCCATCATCGAGTCGTCGAGTCCCCACCGTCAGCCATCATCGAGCCGTCGTTCTTCGCGTCGAAAAACCTGCGCAGGTATGTTAGAGCATGTTTTTATTAATGGCCATTGCTCTTTTTCCGTACACTCATCCAGAAGTCCAACCCGAATAAACGAACTCAATAATAGTGTTTAATGAAAATTGAAGATTAGTTTTTTTATGCTTTAGAATGTTTTTTCCCTGGAATAAAAGACACTCGCTATCTCACGTTCAGTTTTTCCTTCGATTACCGCTCAGTTGAGTAAGAATTCCTTCTTTCTCTTTCCGTTTCGTTCATGTTCTGGGTAAGTCAGAGTAATTCTTTCGTTCCGATAATATCTGCGGTTCTACAGGACTTGGCGTTTTACTTTTGATATTAAAGCTAGTTGTGCCATTAGTAATCGGAAACCGTTCAAGAGGTTCTCTGAGATAAGGTCTCATAAATCGGGCAAAATTCGAACATGACCAGTGGTCGCTTCTAATTGAGAGTGGCGCTTAAGCCACTGAGTTTTACGAAAACCTCAACGAAAATTCGTGAACGGTTACACCATAAACAGAACAAAGCACAGCGGTGCGTGGCAGTAGGTATGGGAACATGGGGTAAAATTGCACCCCCGGGGCAAAATGACTTCTTTTGACGTAGGACTACGTCTTTAATTTCTATACCGGGGGTCACATTGAAAAAAAAAATCAAAATTCAGACGTATGTAACGTAAAATCCCAAACAAGGACGCAACGATAGAGCGCAAATCGAGCTCAATGATCGGTTGATTGCTCACCATTTCACCAATGAAAGGAAGGGAAGAGAAAAGCAGCGATAGTAAAAAGGCTTGCCAAATTGTTTTCTTCGTCATTTACTTTCGAGCAACGGACGGATAAGCGTCGGACACGACGTATGAGTGGAACAGCACGCATCGCACCAATACGAAAACGAACGACGACGACGAAAGCACCCACATCGACCGAAAGAAAGGCTTCCCACAATATGAAGCATGACTAGGCCACCTTCATCCGGTCGGCATCGACTTGCACTGGTGTGGCCATCATTTGAAAAACAACCGGCCCTTTTCAGGGCCACCAATTCAAAACCGGAAAGAGTTAAAACTTAATGGTCAACATATTTGTTCCATCGACTAGCGGTCCTACGTCAAGCTTCCATTTATGCCCTGGGCACAGACCCTTCTACTTTTTTTTTACCAATTTTAAATACATTACCAAAA